ACCTTCTTAATGTTAAGATCAATTTTATACTTGATTTCTTTGTGTTTTGTAGAATCTTAGTTTTGTGATTTTACTCTCACCCGGATATTTTTCGCTAGTGTCGATCTCCTTTTGAACTATATGGCTTTGTTTTCTAGTGCGCCATAACTCCACCACTGTTGACAAGAAGGGTGTCCATACCTCAGTTGTCGCACAGGCACAAGCTCAAGCCCAACCCGATAAGCATGTCAGTATTTCTTCATTAGCTTTTTGTAACCTATTCTTTCTCATTGTATTTCTCAGTGAGCTTTTTTAGGCTTCAAAAACAGCAAGTCCTGGATCTAAGGGTAAGATTGTCGCAGTTATTGGTGCCGTCGTCGACGTGCAGTTTGATGAGAATCTGCCACCTATTTTGAATGGTCTCGAAGTCACAGGGCGCTCCCCTCGCCTTATTCTTGAGGTCTCTCAGCATCTAGGTATAAACATTATTTTTTTTCGTTTAGCTGCAGAATTTGATTTGCTTTCTTTCCAGGAGACAATGTTGTTCGATGTATTGCTATGGACGGAACTGAAGGTCTTGTCCGTGGTCAAGAAGTCGTCGATACCGGAGATCCAATAAAGATCCCCGTTGGACCCGAAACACTTGGTCGTATCATGAATGTTATTGGAGAGCCCATTGATGAGCGAGGTCCTATCCCAGCCAAGCACCGTGCTCCTATCCACGCCGAAGCTCCAGAATTCGTCGAAATGTCTGTCGAGCAGGAGATTCTGGTGACTGGCATAAAAGTCGTAGATCTGCTCGCTCCCTACGCCAAGGGAGGAAAGATTGGCTTATTCGGTGGTGCAGGAGTAGGAAAGACTGTACTTATTATGGAGCTGATCAACAACGTCGCCAAGGCTCATGGTGGATATTCAGTGTTCGCTGGTGTTGGAGAGCGTACTCGTGAGGGTAACGATCTATATCACGAGATGATTGAAGGAGGTGTTATTGATCTTAAGGTAAACATTTTTTCCATCAAATCAAGACTCTTCTTTGCTTCTTCTTTCTATATTGGTCAAAAATTCTTCCTTTATTTCTTAACACCAAACATGCTGAGATATGTGTGTTACGGAGTAAAAGATTTATACTTACGTTTCAAAAAATGAAGTGTAATTGTATCATAGCTCTGAGAGTCCCCCACATATCCTTTATCATGA